TTTTTTTTTTTTTTTGAGACTGAGTCTCACTATGTCACACTTGACACAGTGCCCTGGTGTCACGTCTCACAGCAACCCCCAACTTTTGGGCTTAGGCAATTCTCTTGCCTCAGCCTCCCAAGTAGCTAGGACTACAGGCGCCCTCCACAACGCCTGGCTGTTTTTTGTTGCAGTTGTCACTGTTGTTTAGCCGGACAGGTTCGAACCCACCACCATCAGTGTATATGGTTGGCGCTGTAACAACTGTGCTATAGGTACTGAGCCTGGCTATTTCTTTTGTTGCAGTTGTCATTGTTGTTTTTGCAGGCCCAAGTGGGTTCAAACCCGCCAGCCCTGGTGTATATGGCTGGGGCCCTAACCCCTGAGTTATGGGCACCGAGCCAGCAATGCCATTTTGCACAGGAGGAAGCAGTGAGGGATAGAGTGTGGTGGCCCATCTGCCTTGTGCCTTGCTTATCACCACCAGGATGTCTGCTCTGCCCCTTCAAAACTAGGTGGTTCAGACCACAGTCCCAGCCCATCCAGCCAGGGGCAACCACTCTGACCCAGAGTCCCCCATTGCTCTCCCCTTAAACCTGACCACAAGCCCATGGGGCCCCATCAGGTGTATGGCTGGGCCTCTGTCCCTGTGGCTGCCCCATGGCACTCAGACTCAGGCAGAATGCTGATGTAGGATGGGGCCATACCCCACCAAAGGCTCTGGGTAGGGGTGAGCTCCCAGGCAGGTCAGGGAGTAGGGAGAGGGATGGCCTGAAGGAGGCCACCATTGGTGCTGCTTCAGGACCTTAGTCCCTCTTCCCCCGGTTCCCAAGGGAAGGTGACATCAGGACCCTGGTGGGCTGTGGATGGAGGGTTGGGGCATTCGCAGCCCCATGCATGCTCTGACCTGAGAAAGAGGCCGCCCAGCTCGGCTGCCTCTCTGCCAACCCCAGTCCCTTCCAGCGTTCTCCTTTCTTTCCTAGGAGAAGACAGTGGCTCCAAGGCCCATAGGCACCACTGGAGGCAGCTCTGAGAGCTGGGGCTGTGGGCCTGAGCTGAGCAAGCCTGGCGTGCTGGTGTCTCAGGTGGACAGCCAGTTTTCCGGCTGCTCTGAAGACCTTGCCATCAGTGCAAGCAGCTCCTTGGGCACTGGGGCCTATAATAGCCCAGAGGAAAATGAATACGAGTCAGTGGGCACCTTGGGGATCCATGTGTCTGTGCCCCCCAGCGCTGAGCTCCTAGAGGGCAACCCCAGGCCACGTGCTTTCCCACAGCTCCAGAGCCAGGACAGACCAGAATCCCAGCCCATCCAGCCGGGAGCAGCCACTCTGGAAGAGGAGGAGGAGGAAGAGACGACCGGGAATGTCTGGGTTGAGCCCTGGGCTCCATGGCTCCGGAGAGGCATGGCTGGGTTGCTTGTGGTCACACTGCTGGCTGTGTTGTACCGGCGGCGCCAACTCCAGTGAAGCCCTTGACCCTCCCCACCACATACCTGCTCTGTCCCCTCTCTGGAGTGGGACTGTCCTGCCACCCTTGTCCTTTTCTTAGAGCTAAGAGGGGCTGGGTCAGAGGGGTCTAAGAGACCCTGCAAGCTGGCAGGAGCCTTAGCAAGATGGAGTTCTGGGGGCAGCATTCCATCCTTGCTCTTGAACCTGTGGGTCCCTCGCCATCATTGGCTTCCTGGGGCTTGGGCTGTCCCAGCACTCCAACCTCAGCCACCTGACAATCCAGGTTGTGCCTTCTGGAGGAGGTGCCTCTCTCCAGGCCACATCCCTATTAGATAAGGAGGTGCCACTGGAGCACATAAGGGGGTCGGTAATGCCCCTTATCCTGCACAGGTCTCAGGGCAGTTGTGCAAGGTGGGGGATCCCATAAGACCCACTTCTACCCCAGCACCCAGCCTGAACTCATTGCCCTGGGGCAGGCAGGAATGGCTAGGTGGCTGGCCTCCGGGGACCCAGCTGCTTTGGGTTCCTGCCTTCCTGGTCCCTGTGCCCTGCTAGGCAACTCCAGGGAGGTTTGAAAGTTCCTGTGGATCCCAAAGATGCTAGAGGCAGCTGCCAGGCCTAAGGAAGGCCTTGGTGCCCCTCTCCAGTCTCCTCACCCACCTCCTCCTTCTCTCCCCTGGTCTCTATTCTCTTCACTTCCCTACTTGGGCTGTAGAGGGGACCCCAAGTGGGCAGAGTTTAGGCCGAGGGTTGGATCTCAGCTCCACCTCTCCCTGGGCTGTGTGGCCTTAGCAGGTTGTCAGACTTCTTTGGGCTTGATTCCCTACATGGACTGAGTTTCTGGCTCACGCTTCAGGGGGTTCTTCTGAGATTGGAGCCTGTAGGTGTTGCTAAGTGCCTGGCTCAGAGCAGGTGACCACTAAATGCTCCTCTTCCCTCTCTTCTGCCTACCGCCCTGCTAGAGCTGGGAGTGCAGGAGGCAGAGAGCATGGTGGGTTAGGGTGCAGCACTGCAGTGCAACCCCACTCTGCTTCTCGCCAGCTCTGTGACCTTGGGCAAGGGATTAGCCACTCTGTGCCTCAGTTTCCTCACCTGTAAAATGGGGATGAATGATGTATATCTCCTAGTATTTTGAGAATTAAATGAATTTATCTGTAAATGTTAGGATGATTCCTGGAATTTACTAGGGGTTAGATATATGTTGTTATTATCACTTCTAAATGGGAGGGACTGGAGCCCTTGGCTGCACCATTATAGGCAAGCCCAGACCTTCCTGCCTTACCCCTTTATATTTGCCCATTTTGTTATCCTGTGCACTGGGAGATTGTTGGGGAGGGAGGCGTGTCTGCTGGGTCAGCTGTGCAGGAGGGGGACCAGGGCATTCTCCCCACCCCCACTCCAAGTTCAGCCACTGGTGGAGAGACAAACTATATACCAGAAACACATTGGGGTGGATTAGGGGTGTCCTTTTGGGTTCTTTTCAGGCAGCCACCTCTGGGCAAGGGGCTGGCACAGGAGCCTCAGGAGCCACTTCTGGTTGGTGCTCTGCAAGGGACAATAACTGGAGGTCTTTGCGGCATCCAGGATGGGGCTTGCTGTGGCCCAAGCTGTTGGCCATCAGGGTCCTGCACCCTGCTTTAGCTGCTACAGTCTTTCCTCTGCACTGTCATTGGGGACTTCTGTGACCCAACGACCTTTATTCTGAACTGTTGTTCTTCAACCTGTGCTCCAAATCCGTACCCTATACCCCCAAACCAGGAGTGGTCCCTACCCAAGCTGTTTGTATCTCTCCTCATCTGCCTTGCTTTTTCTTTTCTTTTTTTTTTTTTTTTTTTTTTTTGAGACAGAGTCTCGCTTTGTTGCGCCCGGTAGGGTGCAGTGGCATCACTGTAGCTCAAACTCCTGGGCTCAAGTGATCTTCCTGCCTCAGCCTCTTGAGTAGCTGGGACTACAGGACCGCACGATGATAACCAACTAATTTTTCTTTTCTTTTACTTTTTTTGAGACAGAGTTTCACCCTGTTGCCTCAGGCTAGAGAGCCATGACCTCAGCCTAGCTCACAGCAATCTCATATTCCTGGGCACAAGTATCCTGCTTCAGCCTCCTGAATAGCTGGGACTATAGGTGCCCACCACAACGCCCGGCTAGTTTTTTTATTTTTAGTAGAGACAGGGTCTCACTCTTGCTCAGGCTAGTCTGGAACTCTTGAGCTCAAGCAATCCACCCACCTTGGCCTCCCAGAGTGCTAGGATTACAGGCATGAGACACAATGCCCCACCATCTTGCTCTTGGCAGGCCCTGTGTCCTTCCACCCCCAGCCAGGTGCCCATGGGGAGCCGGTTGGTGAGCAAGTCACACATGGTGACTAGTTTTAATGTGCTCCCCTCCCAGGGGAGCTAGAGAAAAGTATCTCAAGATGGCAATATGGAGCCCAAAGGAGTGTTGCCCAAATGGAATTTCAAGCTCAGTTACCAGCCACTGTGGGAGACACCTTGGGTAAGGTGTGTAGGAAGAATCAAGGGGACTTCCCACCACTTTTCAGATGCTGCTGCTAGAAGACCTGACTTGGCCTGCATGTATCAGCAACCCCGATACAGCTGTTATCAACCCAAAGGTCTCACCAAAGTTGATTTCAATCAAGATGGGAATTAGCCAGTGTACTGGCCAGCATCACACATTAGAGTCCTGTATTTGGAGTGTGGCTTTCAGCTGCAGAGGTTGCATGTAGGAGGGAGAGCCAGGAAGGTCACCCTCACAGCCATGGCTAGGACAATGTAGAGGTCCGAGCCCAGGGAAGGGAGGGAAGACCTCCCCTTCCCATGGGGTGGGCTGGCCACCCACATCTGAGGACTTGATAAAATATATTTCACCTTGGGAGACATTACCAAGGGCAACAAAGTGAGACTCTGTCTCAAAAAAAAAAAAAAAAAAAGAAAGAAAGAAAAGGTGGGGCTTTGGGGAAGTGATTAGGTCATAGAGCTCTATCCTCACAACAAGAAAGCGAAGACCCCATCCTACAGCAACCTCCTAGCACCCAATGTTTCCAGTATGAGAGTGAGTGGTCTAATGGCGTGTTTCTGGATCATGGGGTGGAGGGTGGGGAAGGGACAAGGATTGCTTTAATCAGTTCTGTACTGTTTGTGATTATAATAACTAAATTCAGGAGAGGGGTAATAACACTTAGAACCCATAGGGAATAAGTCTTGACAAGATTAAATGTTGATAAAAGTACGAAACTCTTGGGCAGCCCCTGTGGCTCAAAGGAGTAAGGCACTGGCCCCATATGCTGGAGGTGGTGGGTTCAAACTCAGCCCCTGCCAAAAACTGCAAAAGAAAAAAAGGAAAGAAACTCTTGGGCTGGGTGTTTGTGGCTCATGCCTGTAATCCCAGCACTCTGGTAGGCCAAGGCCGGTAGATTGCCTGAGCTCACAGGTTTGAGACCAGCCCGAGAAAGAATGAGACCTGTCTCTAAAAATAGCCAGGCATTGTGGCGGGTGCCTGTAGTCCCAGCTACTTGGGAGGCTGAGGCAGGAGAATCACTTGAGCCCAAGAGTCTGATGTGGTTGTGAGCTATGACGCCATGGCACTCTACCAAGGGTGACCAAGTGAGATTCTGTCTCAAAACAAACAATAACAACAAAAAAAAGGTGGGGTGTTGGGGAAGTAATCAGGTCATAAGAGCTCTGCCTTCACAAATGGGATGAAGTGCCCTGTAAAAGATGCTCAGGGGGCCTTTCTGTCCCTCCTGCCATCTGAGTAGGAGTGAGATGACATTGTATCTCTCAAGCTGAGAGCAAGCACCCCTCACACACGGAATCTGCTGGCGCTTTGGCCTTGGGGTTCCTAGCCAGCCTCCAGAACTGTGAGAAATAAATTTTTATTGTTTGTAAAGTACCCAGCCTAGGGTATTTTGTTACAGCAGCCCATTTGGATTAAGATGTCGGTATGATCCTGTTGGAAAACCGGCAGTATCTACTAAAGCTGAGCGTATGCATCACCTGTGTTCCAGCAGGCCCACTTCTGGGTGAGCACACCACAGGAACAAGAGCTTATGTCCACCTGGACATGGGCAAGAATGTTTCTTCTCTTTATTTTATTTTTTTTAAAGACAAAGTCTCCCTGTGTTGTCCAGGCTAGAGTACTGTGGAATCAGACTAACTCACAGCAACCTCAAACTCCTGGATTCAAGCGATCCTCTTGCCTCAGCCTCCTGTGTAGCTGGGACTGCAGGCTTCCACCACAATGTCTGGATAATTTTCTATTTTTAGTAGAGACGGTGTCTTACTCTTGTTCAGGCTGGTCTGGAACTCCTGAGCTAAGCAATCCTTCTGCCTCAGGCTCTCAAGAGTACTAGGATTACAGGTGTGAGCCACTGTGCCCAGCCACAAGAATGTTTCTAACCACCACACTGTTCCCAACAGCCCCAAACTGGAAACAACCCAACCCAATAGAATGGATATGTAAGTTGTGTGAAGTCATGTGGTTAAGTCATGTGTGAATATGAATGAAAGCATTGCTACACAGAACAACATGAATAAATCTCACAAAAGTCAGTACGCACAGCAGTGCTCACTGTATTTAGAAATAAGTACTACTGAGCTGGGTGTGGTGGCTTACTCTTGTAATCCTAGCACTTTGAGAGGCCAAGGCAAGAGGACCACTTGTGAGCAAGAGCTCAAGAAATAATGACAACTGATCCATGGTCTTAGAAATCAGGAGAATGATTAACCTTGCAGGGGGCGGATATTGCTGGGAATGATTATTCTGGGGTGCTGGTCTATCTCTGGATCTGGTGTTGGTTTCATGAGTATGTTCAGTTTGTGTTCAGACTCCCTACAAGAGATTTGGACAAAAGGGAAGACCACCCAAATGAGGACAGAGAGGCCATTTAGTCAGAGCTGGTGGAGTCAGCCATCATTGCTTACATTTGGCAGGAGTCTTGGGAACTTAGGGAAGGACTTGAGTGCACTGTGATTGGGAGTTGTTGGCATGAGGACACCAGATGCAGGCTAACTAGTAGAGTGGCAGTCTCTGGGATTGGCTGGGGAACACATCTGGCTTTCCTGGTTGGTCTTGAGTTAGAAGAGGGGGTGTGGTGGTTGGAGATTGGAAGATGCTGGCAGTCACTGCCCATGTTCTGACTGTTCTGGCCTGATAGCTTCCTTGGCTTCCCAGGCTGCCTACTGCCAGGGCTTTGGGTCAGAGCTTTATTGTCACATGTAGCCTGGCCATTGTGTTTGTACGTTCAGTCTCTTAGAAGGAAGAGTGTGGGCTCTGAGTAGAGCTGCCGTGGCTGGAAAGGCAGAGGGATTGTGCACATCTCCCTCCATCTCCCCACATGGCCCTGGGGTGAGCAATGCCTGCCTGTTGGGGGGAGCCCAATAGTCAGAGGGCTCTGCTCCAGGTCTCCACTTAGCTACTCCTCACGCCAAGCTGCTTTTTTTCTTTAAGCCCTGGCTTAAAGCCCAGATCCTACAGGAAACCTCAATTAGACCCTCTCTTCATTAGGCTTCCTTAATTCCCATGGCTTACTTCAAACCCTGCTTTTATGTGTAAATTCTGACCTCTTTGCCTGCATTTTAAAAATCCACCTGAATATCTTCCTCCTACTTCCTCAGTGCTATTTTTTTAAAAACAGCACAGCTTTTTATTGAATTACAATATAAATAAATACTGCAAAATATTTGGAGACACAATGGAGATGGAGGTGCAAGAAGGGCAGGAGTGGCAGAGAAAATGGGGGTGGTGGGGTGGGGTGGGAATGTGTGCCAAAGTAAAGAACTCCCTGGGTTCTAGTCCTGTGTCCACAGTCAAATCCCAGCATTTCTCACTCTCCAGGACCCAAAGAATGAGGGTAGGCAGGTGATAGCAGATCCTCCTCCAGAGCTCGGACCATTGCCCTTGGGTGTCCTTGGCTCCGAGTGGGCTCTGCCAGCTTCCTCCGCCTCCATCCCCTCCTCCACCCATTCCCAGGTGCCATGGCCACAGCATCTGAATCACTGATTTCCTGGCCATCACACACTATCTTCTATTTAATCAATTCACTTGTATTTAACTTCAGAAGAAAGAAAAATGTGTTCATTCTCACATACAGCTGGAAATCAGTTTCTTGCCTATCCAAGGAATTGGGGAAGAGAGAAACTGTTGAAAGGATTACTTAGATTTTTTTTTTCTACTTGCTGTCATGATGATTTCCGTAGTATTGTGAACCCAGACATTCCTATGCAGGAATTCTGCTATTAGTACTTCTGGAACTGCAGTTATGAGCTTTTACAATGGCCCCAACCCTGCTCTTAGGCTACTGCAGTGATGGTAAACAGAATCCTCAGTCCAGGGACTTGATCAGGACCTCTCCCCCTCTCTGGGGGTGGAATGTGTCTGCTAAAAGACAAGCTCATCCCTTTCAGAGGGTGCAGCAGGCTGTCACCTCCTGAGCTGTGTCAGTGGACTCCTTCCTTATCATCCAGTCTGGCGGGGGTGGGGATAATTTCCCACCGAATTTTCACCTTCCTTGTAATCTAGTCTCTTTAACAATTTAAAAAACCACACAGGTAATACATGCATAAATGTAAAAAATTTAAACTCCAAACTATACAGAGATAAGCCAGAGTTTCCCATACTTCAGTTTCTCAAACTCATATACACAAGATATCCTGGGGGTCTTGTTAAAATGCAGGTTCTGATTCATTGAGTCTGTGGTGGGGCCTGAGACCTTGCATTTCTAAGAAGCTCTTTTTGAGTAAAGACAGGGCAAAGATTGAAAATGCCCTTTACTCCCTTACAATCCTAT